TTCAGGGTGGGGGTCCCCACTGGGGTGCCTGGCCAGTCTGGGTGAGGGGCTGAGGGCCGTTTTCAGGCTGGCGGGTGACTGAAGCTCCCAACCGCTCCTTTTTTTCTTTTTTTATTCTGGGCCAGCTTTAGCTCTGAGGCTTGGCTCCAGCTCTGAGGCCTCGGCTGCTGAAAGCAGGTATCTGGTTTGTTTGGGTTCTATAATCGAAACACTGTTTCAACTCCAGCTCTGAGATCCCGGCTGGCTGAAAGCAGGTTTCTGGGGTTTTGTTTAGCTTCTATATTTGTAACAATGTTTTAAACTGCAAGCTCAGAGGCCGGCAGCGGCAGGCGGGGAACGTTGGAGTCCTCCGTCACTGAAGCAAGCAAGCCTCATGTTCGCTTCCAGCTGCCTGGCTGCCAGCTTGCCATCTTGCTGGCAGTTAATTTGCATATCGCCCTGATTAGCCAATGGGAAGGGTAGTGGAGTGACACCAATTTGCATGTTTCTCTTTTATTAGTGTAGATTTCTTACCTTTCCCTTTCATTATCACTTTTTAGTAAGTTTTTGCAATACTCTAGAGCTGCTGGTTGATGAGCTTGAAGCAAAATCACTCTGGGTTTCTCCCTGACGTGAGTCCTTTGTGGGTGACTTTTCTGTCATTAAATCCTACAGGCTTATTTATTCACTCTTTCCACATCATGCTCTTCAAGTGAAAGCCTGGGAATACTTCTATAACTGAGGATTTCAGAGTGTTTAATTTGTCGATATACATGTTATAGAGTATAATAAAAATCGGGGCAGTCATTCACTAACGCATTGTAATTAGTACTATTTGTTTCCTACCTTAAATATCTCATGCTTTCTCATTCTTCCCATACTTTCTCTATACTGTCATAGAAAACTGCATTCCGTGTTGTCCTTGTATCTTTTATGCTAAGACAGAACATCATCATCCATTACTGAAAGTACTGTCTTAAAGCATCCTATATTAATCTTCTTCCATTAAATGAATTCGAGATAAGCTTGCAATCTATCTTTCCTGCTACTATGGCTGGTTGAGCCCTATGAAATAGTGTCACATAACTGCAGATTGCCATTATAGGTTACTGGTTTCTAGGAGGCCAAATCTTTGATGCTTCTCATCAATCCTTTTACCTATAGTGCCATAGACCAATTCCAGCATGTCATAATTTTAAGTTTCATCAAAAGGTTGATGAAACCTGGGGACTCAACAGGGTTGAGTCACACATGTAGTCACCTATTGGGAATGGCTAAAGGCATTTCCCCAAACCTGAATAGGACACTGTGGCTGCCAGACAGTTAAAGGGCATCTTAATCTACATGTTATTGCCTCCTACTGGCCAAACACCTGAACAGCCTAGGCTATTCCCCAAACTGACAATGCTTCTGTACCCTTTGAAACCTTACCCTATGAAGTGTATTATCTCCACCTTGCCTTAGGACAAATTGTGTTAATAAAAGCAAGGGTCCTAGACAGGGAGGGAGTCTTCAGTTCCTTTAGCTGAAGGTCCTCTGACCCCCAATGCCTTTCAAAATTATATCTCGTCTCCGGACTCTTTATTAGTCTCTGGATTCCTATGTCATCTACGCACAGCCTTTTCCAGATTCCTGAACCCTTCTTGATGCTGGGACATGAACCCCAGCACTATAGCATTATTTAGGATATAGGTTTGGCTGAATGTAATACACATTAAAATAACTATGGCAGACACAAGATATTCTATCGCTCTTTTACTTAGAAGCCCAAAAACAGGGGGTCCCAGGCTAGTATGGTCGTTGCTCCTCAAGGCCAATCAAGGACACAAGATCTTTCTATCTTGTTCCACCTTCCCCAATGAATTGCCCTCTTTTGTCCTACAAGTGATCTGCTGCTTTGTCCATATTCCAAGCAGCAGGATGAAGAGGGGAAATGGGCTCTCTTCTCCCATTGGCCATAACTTACATGGCCACATCCTGTTGCAAGGGCTGATGACAGTCTTAAAATTTTTTTAAATTGAAATAAAAAATATATACTGAAGAGTGCAAAAATCATAAATGTATAGCTTGCCAAACTTTCATTGACAGAACAAAAATGCATAACCAGCATCCAGGACCAAAAGAAAAGAAAAGAAAAAGAGTACAGTATTATAAGAACCTCAGAACCCTCCCTTTATATCCTTCCAAAGGTGACCACTCCTGTGTTCTAACAATAATAGTTTCACCTACTTTTGTACTACATATAAATGAAATCATCCACAAATCATTTGTCTCTGGATTCTTTGGTAAGATCTTATGTGAGAATCAGCTATATTGTTGTGTGACTATGTTCCCAACCAAAAATTCTATTACTATGAAAGGATAAAATATATCAGGTCTCTCTCACTGACTTCCATTATCTTCCTAATTGTTCCTTTTTTCCTAAAGCCTTTTATTATCAACTCCCTCGCTCCATATTAGCTGATTACTTTGCTGGAAAATGGAATAAGTGAATTCCTTTATCACTATAAATATACTGCATTTATACTTACATCTCCTTTCTGCTAGCCTCAAATGAATTAGCACAGCATTACTTCTGCCATATTCTGTCAAAGGAGTCACAGGGCCTGCCCAGATTCAAGGGGGTAAAAAAGTAAAATGCAGTTGTTGTTTTTTTAAAATATATTTTTATTTCCGAGAGGGAGAGGGAAAGAGAAACATCTATTATGAGAAACACTGATTGGCTGCCTCCTGCACGCCCCACGCAGGGGATCGAGCCCGCAACCTGGGCATGTGCCCTGATGGGGAATCAAACCATGACCTCCTGGTCCATAGGCAGATGCTCAACCACTGAGCCACGCTAGCTGAGCTAAAATCCAGTTCTTAATGGACCACATTGCATAGGAGCATGTGGGGTAGAAGATTTTGTAGTGGCCATCTTTGAAAAGTGCAGTCTAGCACACCAAACTTGAAAGCATTTACAGAACCAATAATATGTCATATTCAGAACTGTGAGAATAAATTGTTTTAAGCCACTAAATTTTGTATCAGTTATCTACTGTCTCAGAATGCTGCATAACACACCACTCCAAAATTCTGTGGCTTATAATCATCTGCATTTATTATTGCTCACAAGTCTATAGGTCAGCTGGGTGGTTCTGCCAATCTGGGGTAGGCTTGGCTGATTTCAGTTGGTATCTAATGTATCTGCAGTCAGCTGGCAGGCTGGCTGGGGACAGATTATCTAGCATAGCTTCACTCACATGTCTGGCTGTTTACCAGCTATTGGCTGGTACAACAGGTGACTGGGCCATGTGTCTCATTATCCAGAAGGCTAGGCAGGGCTAGGCTTGTTACCATGGTAGTTGTGTAGGGTTCTAAAAGAACAAGCAGAAGTTTTCAAAACCTTTGGAAGAAAGTCTACTCAGATTGGCATTATATTATTTCCTCTGCATTCTATTAACCAAAACAAGTTCAGTCCTCCAGATTTAAGAGGTAGGTAAAGAATCTCAACCTCCTGGTGGGAGAAGCAGCAAAATTACATCGCATAAGTCATGAAAACATGGAGGGATAAAAAATTGGGGACATAGTACAATAAATCTAACTCAAATAAATAAAAACCTAATTGTTTCATTGACCTATAAAAGTTCAATCCCTTTAAGATGGAAATCTATATAAATTTTTAAATTTACATTTTATTGTGGACAGTATTACAGATGTCTCCCAACTCCTCTCCTCCACCCAACCCTGCCCACCCCAACTCAGGTTCTCATTGCATTACTGTCTGTGTCCATAGGCTATGTATATATGCATATAAATTCTTTAATCTCTTCCCACCCCCTTCCCTCTGAGATCTGTCAGTCTGCTACATGAATCCATGTCTCTGGACCTATTTTGTTCGTCAGTTTATTCTGTTCATTAGATTTTACATGTAAGTGAGATCATATGATATTGATACCAGAACCGGAGAGCAGGAATTCTTCCCAGGGTCATGTTTCATGGAATTGAAGAATGAATCCATGGAGGAGAGGAGTTCAAACAAGGCAGGAGTTTATTGCAAGCAAACACAGGCTCGCTGCTCAGGGAGGGGATCCAAATGGGTTGCTGCCAAAACATTCTGCTCTTCCCCTTGTATCTGCTAAAGGCCCATTCTTTGTCTATCTGTGCCGCTCTCTGATTGGTTCCTGGCCGTTTTGCAACATTTTATTTTGCACTTGTAAGAAAAACATCCTTGTCTCAGAACATCCTATTTTTCTGCTATCTTGTTATTCTGCAAAACATTTTGTGGTTTCAGCTAGCTCCACGATTCCTCCTTCTTCCACCCTGTACCCTATTTACCTAATTCTGCTTCTCACTCCTCTCAGTATTACATGAAATCCCTTTTGTTTTAATTCAGTTCTCACTGGCCCCGTTCCATCCTTTCCTATTCTTCCTATTCCATTTATAAAAGCACAGTTGACTTTTTTCCCACATAAAAGTTAACTTACCCTATGCAGTGGTCGGCAAACTCATTAGTCAACAGAGCCAAATATCAACAGTACAACGATTGAAATTTCTTTTGAGAGCCAAATTTTTTAAACTTAAACTATATAGGTAGGTACATTGTTATTAACTTAATTAGGGTACTCCTAAGGCTTAAGAAGAGCCACACTCAAGGGGCCAAAGAGCCGCATGTGGCTCGTGAGCCGCAGTTTGCCGACCATGGCCCTATAGAGATTCAATAAAGCTCCCAACACCATAAGCTAGAGAACAAGTAACAGTTAATTACAAATGCAAATTAATTCCTCTGTATCCAGTCTGAAGCAACTACAGAATAGAGTAAGTGAATCAGACAACTCAAAGGTCAACAAGTGAACTTTAATGAATAATTTTGGTAAAAGTGTTTTTGCACAGATATGCAAGTCTAAAGCATATAAAAATGAACAAAAAGATTCTTTCTCTCCTTAAGTACTTCTTGGTACAGCTATGACTCAGTTTAACTTATCTATTTCAGAGCTTAAAAACCAAGAAACTAACACATTTTTGCAGTTAAACTTGAGACACCTACATTTATTGTCCTAACACTGGACATACTGTAATTTGTTACTCTTATTGATAGGTTTGCCTTTTAAAAGTTTTCCTAGGAAAAAAATATAAGAAAAAAGTAACTATATATATTAGCATCATTCTTTGAACATTATTTAGGAATAACAGAGTCTTAAATATAGCTCAATTTTTAAAAACATTGACAAAATGTTGGAATGTTATTCTTATTTTCAGGATCTCTTTTTGAAAAATACATGAGTATTAAAAAAATAATTTTGTCCTGGCACTGGTAGGATGAACTACATCTATACTGTTCACAAATTCAACACACAACAGTGTCTGCTTTAAAAGAGATCAACACCAACAGGTAACATGAAAAAGAGAAGCGAACTTGTGGAGGTGCATTCATTCCAGTCTACTGTTAATCCCTCTCAGGTTTCACTAGCACATTACTAAAAACAGATATATACCCTAATTTCACAGATATTTAACAATTTAACTTTCCCTACAGATATAAAGTATGCTTACCTCTTTGACAGCTTCAGTCTTAACTGCAAAAAGTGCCCCAGCACATTTTTTCATCACAGGTAGCTATCAGTGTTTCTTAAGAGGGCCATTCCAAATACTGCAGAACATGTAGCATTCCTGGCTCATCCACTAAAAGCCAGCAGGTTTCACAGTCACTGTGAAACATACCCATAACATTTCCAACTGCCCCTTGATGAGAACCACTGAGTTAGATCCAAGATTAATGTCAATTAAAACTTCATAACTTTCACAGAAAGTAACTGCTTCAAAATCTTCAGTAACAAAGACAGAAGAACATTTTGTTAAAAACACATTGTAATTAAATGTTATTTTGAAAAGATAAGCTTATTTCTTCAAATTTATGATGATCTGAAAGGATCAGTTGCATAAAGTGCAATCCCTATTTATCCCCACATGCACACATATATTTACAGGAAAATAACTGCTTATGTTCTGGCATATCTTACCCCACTTATCTTAGTATAAAAATATTTTTGTCTACTACAATAAGATAAAAAAACATGTAGGGCTTCTTAATAAATTCCCTCACACTGATGTTCCTGAAAACTGTTGTTGTCTTTGCTCCAAAACTTGCTGATTTAATAGCTGTTGTTGTTTCTGTAAAAACTGCACCACTTCTGGGCTTCTTAATAATGACTTAAAAAGAAAAAAGAAAAAAACATACTTATTAATAGCATTATTTTTATGGGATTAGACTGTAAACATGCTATGACATTACTGCTATGTCCCTACACAAGATACAATATGCTTAGAAAACAAAACATGCCTAAATTAGTGTTTGCATCTTATACACTGCATTTAAACTGTAAAGTAATAAAATTTGATGTCATACATCAAAATACTAAAATTAAAAACAGTGGGTAAAACTTGATCTTATTGATGACTTTGTACACAAAGGAAATGTTTTTTTTGTTTGTTTTTTTTAAATATATTTTTATTGATTCTTCACAGATAGGAAGGGAGAGAGATAGAGAGTTAGAAACATCGATGAGAGAGAAACATCGATCAGCTGCCTCCTGCACATCTCCCATTGGGGATGTGCCCGCAACCAAGGTACATGCCCCTGACCGGAATCGAACCTGGGACCCTTCAGTCCGCAGGCCAACGCTCTATCCACTGAGCCAAACTGGCTTTGGCGGAAATGTTTTATATGATATAGAGGCCCGATGCATGAAATTCATGCAAGAGTAGGCCCTCGCAGCCCCGGCTTTATCTGGAAGGTTGCCTGGAAGGTTGTCCGGGCGGCCGTTGGGTCGATTTGCATATTACTCTTTTATTATTATAGATGCCAGCAAATATATTCTCTATAAAACGTAAGAGTAAATAGCCAATAGCACTGACCCAGGATTAGAGCAAGGAAAATGAAAAGAGGCCACATGTGAAAATGGCAGTTAAATGACACTTTGCAAATACATTTAAGACGTATTGGAACTCAAATTTCTCCCATGAACCTACTAAGTATTTCTGAAGAAATAAAAAATTATGTGTGTGTTATTTGGTGTGTGTGTGTTTAAATATAGGTATGTGTGTAATGATGGGTAGATTACCAAAATTTCTGAAAAGAAAGAATACAACTGCTTTAAAACAGCCAATACTTTTTGTACATGTTTCATTTTAAAATACAGTTGTAATCATATCCTAATATATAAAAAGCCAGGGGCCATCACGACCGAAACAACCAGACGGACGACCAAACAGCAGGCTGCGTGGGGCGACAAGGCCGGCAGGGGGGTTAGTGAGGGATGACCAAACGACTGAACAGCAGGCTGCATGGGGCAACCACGTCAGCGGGAGGGCCCTGGGGCAGTTTGGGGCAACCAGGCCGGCAGGCAGAGGTGGTTAGGGGTGATCAGGCTGGCAGGGGGGGCAGTTAGGGGCGATCAGGCAGGCAGGTGAGCAGTTAGGAGCCAGCGGTCCGGATTGTGAGAGGGATTTCTGACTGCCAGTTTAGGACCAATCCCGGCAGTCAGACATCCCCCGAGAGGTCCCGGATTGGAGAGGGTGCAGGCTGGGCTGAGGGGACCCCCCCCCGCCCGTGCACAAATTTCATGCACTGGGCCTCTAGTAACAAATATAATAGACTATGGTTAATATGTTTTTGTTATAATAAAATTGATGAAAAAATAAAACTCTGGCTCCAATAAATTGAAAAAGATAAACTGAAAAGATAAAATAGAAATACTATCATTAAATACTAATTTTAAAATTTAACATTATAGCACAGTACATTTTCTATTTATTAGTTTTATTTAAAATTTAGTTGTAAAAACTACCCAACATTTTATTAAATAAATGTACATCAGTCTTCTTAATTGTTATGAAACTGTTGAGCATTTAGGTTGTTTATACTACTACTAGAGGCCCGGTGCAAAAAAATTTGTGCACTCGGGGGCGGGGGTCCCTCAGCCCGGCCTGTGCCCTCTCGCAGTCTGGGACCACTCAGGGGATGACCACCTGCTGGCTTAGGCCTGCTCCCTGAGAGATTGGGCCTAAGATGACAGTCAGACATCCCTCTGGCAGCCCGGCAGCCCTCGGGGGATGTCCACTTGCCAGCGGGGAGCAGGCCTAAGCTGCAGTCGGACATCCTTAGCGCTGCTGAGGAGGCAGGAGAGGCTCCCACCACCACC